ATTACTTTCAAAAATTGTAAAACATATAGCTATAAATACTAAAGATGAACTTCATATTTGTCTAAATCATTGTTATACATTAATGAAATTGTAATTTCTATTTTTTTATTATTATTTTAAAAAATACATATTTAAGCATCATTAAGAGTTGGCAGAAAGCAGTTGGAACATTTGTATTACCTGGGTCAGCTGTGTTTAACTTTTATTCCTGGGAAATGTTTTCAATATCAAAATAGAGTCATTTGCCTCAGTTCTAACTAAACCATGTCAGATAGGCCATGGAGGAGGTGTTTTCTCATGCTAATATGCCTGATAACTGCTATCCAAAGCACTCAGAACCACAGCCTTGCACAAAAACCACTGCAACCTGGCACAGGGATGACTACTATAAGAACATCTGCCCAGAGATTGCTTGTCCAACCTTGGACTGATGCCACCCTTGTTATTGATCCTGCTAGCCAAGGGTAATTGTCCTAAAACAACAGGTTAAATTCCTTCTTCTTTTCCTCCTGCTTGTGGCTTTTGCCTTTAAATCTATATGAGGGTTTTAAGACCTTGGTGAGCATGTTTGGAGCTGGCCAAAATATGCTCATCAGAGTTGCTTGCCAGCTGCAATTCTCATGTGTATGCTGAAATAAGTTTCTTTTTGCCTTATATAATTTGCCTCAGTTTTACTTCATTTAATTAAAAAAAATTCAGAGGATTTTGCCTCAGGACATGTGTACTTGCTGGAGAGAGACAGAGACAGTGAGAGGGAAAGTGTGAAAACAACCCCAGGGAGAATGGCCATGGTGCAGTCCCCTCTCCTCCACTCTCCTTGGATCTTGAGCATGCGTGCACAGGTGCCTGAGATAATTCTTAAGCCACTGGGTCTGGGACTTGAATCGTGCTTGACCAGTGGGAGTCCAGCAACATAGCCACTATGCCTTCTGCTGGCCCTCTTTTTTCATCTTTTTTTAGTTAACAATTATACTGAGAATAATATAGTAGAGTCATAGGTACATATCTATAGCATATCCTTTAGAAATCCTGGTGAAAAGGATGTGGGGACCAGCAGATGGTGTAATGGTTACATCACTGGATTCCCACATACTCAACCATGGTTCAAGTTCAAGAGTTGGTGACTTAAAACTCATGCCAGGGGACCAGCAGTCAAGACCTAGTGACTTAAAACTCATGCCAGGGGACCAGCAATTAGTGTAATGGCTGTCGCTGGACTCCCACATAGTTGACAGCGGTTCGAGTCCCGGACCCGGTGGCTTAAACTCATTCTGGGCGCATGTGTGTGCATGCCCAAGATCCTGAGAGGAGAATGAAGGAGAAGGGATTATGGTGTGGCCATCCCCACTGGGAGTCAGGGGGGTGATTTCTCGCTTTCTGCCTCTCTGTCTTTCTGGTGAGTGCACACACGCTATGGCAAAAACTTCTCTCCTGGGAAAAAAACAAACAAAACAAAACAAAACAAAAAAAAAAAACCTCCAGGCATGTGTGCAATGTGTGCTTGTGTGCCCAAAATCCTGAGAGGAAAATGGAGGAGAAGGAATTGCAGTGTGGCCATTCCCCCTGAGGGGGTGATTTCTCACATTGTTTCTCTCTGGCAAGCTCATGTGCCCCATAACAAAAATTTCTCTCTTGAAGATAAAACAAAACAAAACAAACAAACAAAACCCTGGTGGAAAGGAAGTAAGAATGTCTGTGATACAGGTTATCTTTGAATTTATCCTTATTTTATCTTAAAATTAAACAATTGTAAACTTTGCTGTTTTTAAATAATTACTTAATTTTTTATTATCATTAAATTTAGTATAAGTCACATGCACTCATCAGAGAGAGACACACAGAAAGAGAGAGACACGGAAAGTGTGAAAGCATGCTGCCAGGCCCAGGACCTGAACCACGTTGGACATTTGGGAATCCAGCATCTTAAGCACCATGCCACCTGATTGCCCCAACATTGCTGTTTTTTTTTTTTTAATTTGAAGAAGGCTTTTGCACTCACCAGTGAGAGAGAGAAAAAACATCCCTGTGTGCAGTGTAGTTACACTGCAATCCTCCCCCCATTTCTCCATCCCATCAGAACTTGTGTCATGCAGCCACACATGCCCAGCATACTTTTCGAGCAGTGGAGCTTCAAACTGTAGATTCAAACTGTGGTTGGCCATATGGGATCTGGCTTCCAATGCACAAAGTCTAACCACCGCACTGAGGGGCTGTCCCTGTACATTGCTATTTAATCATTATTGGCAAATAAAATCATTTGCAATCTACTTTGAAACTAATAACCACACACAAAGTACTGAGAATAATGAGCCTATTAAATGGGAAAAATATAAGCTTACTGTTTTTATTTTAGGTTAAACCACAAAGATTTCATTTGGTTTTCACCTTTGCTTTAGTGGCTCTGTGAAGGTCCAGTGTGGTGGCTCAGATTACAACTGCATGGTCAGACTGTCATGGCGGAATGTTTGCTGAAGCTCTCTGGAAGAGGGCATGAACATTTTATAGAGATTTGTAATTGCAGTTTTTTAAAAAATTGTTCTGTTTGAAAGAATAACCTGGACTCTTTATTTAATTCCTGGACCAAGATGGAACCAACTGATCTAGAATTCCCAGTGCAGAGGACTGGCAATCTTTACTTTTCTCATGCAGCCCAAGTGGTTAGGCCAGTTGGGGAAACATGGTATTAATACTGTTTGACTTGGCAGAACTGCTAATCTTCATTGAAGCCTTTAGTTACCACCTTTTTTCATTCTTTCACATTTTTATTGAGCAAGTACTGTGTAGTTTATATTCTAGTGGACTCTAGAGATGCATAAATAACACAATTTTACTTAGTTAACAGTTTAGAGTTTGAAATATTCTGTTGCAACAGATTTGCAATGGCCTTTAAAAGTTGTTTCCTGCTCTAAGATGTCGGGCCCACAGAGAAGGTCCTAGGTTGGTGTACAGAGGCTCCTCTGAGCATAACCGATGCATGTGTGTGTATTCTCATGCCTAAGGCTGGCTGAGTCTGGAGCTGGATTCTAGCATGAAGGCCTTTTTAGGGGTGTCTCTTTCTTACTACTTCCCTCTCTCTCACTCATGGAAGAAATAAATAAAACTTTATTGCTTTTGTTTGCTGAGCAGAGGTACCTTGATCTATCACACTGAAGCCTGGAACCCAGTATGAATTTGTCTCAGACCTAAATCAGAATACATGATATTATATTGTTATTCATGAAAGTGCTTTGTTGTCATTGTTGCTTGTTTTGTTTTGGTGAGTACATTGCAGTGTATTCCTGATAGAGTTCTAGTTCATTAATAGTTCTGCATGAAACTCTGCTTCTTATTACTTTATGTAATGTTTTTTTTCTACTGTTCTTCCATCTCTTATTATAATATACTTGAACAGTGGTTTGATTACCGAATTATTATGTGGTCTTTTATAACCTAATTAAAAATAACTATAAAATTGGGGTTACAGGAGATAATTTTATTGGATGCATTTTATAATTAATTATATATTGAGACAGTCCAGTTTTCTTATTTAAACTAATTATAAAATGTAATTACTAGTATATTGAAGAAAATTTACTGCTGCTTAATGTCATCGTTTTAAAATACCATTTGAGTTGAGTACTGCAGCCTCCCATTTTTAGAATTTCTCCCTAAGAGAAAATTTGTAGATAAATTCTACTTGCACTTTTTTCTGTGTAGCGATTTGGTAGCCTTGTTACTTAAGTAGGGAGTGAAATTTCCATGGTTAATTCTTTGGAGAGGAGATGATAGGAACAAGAGAATATAATTGATAAAATGACTATCAAATACTGTTACTTATTTTTAACAAATATTGGGTCACTGGGAAAGTCATGATGCATTTCTGAAATAGAAAACCGTAGAAAAATATGTCATAACTTTCCTGATGACCTAATAATATCATTCCATGATTTTGCTATTGCCTAACAGGGTGTGATCATTTACAGGTAGTTTGGTAATGAAATATTTAACTTTCTTTTTAGTTTGTACATGGTAAAGGATCTCAGAATTGTCAGGGTTTTCCTTTGGGATTGATCCTCTTTTTTTTGCTGCAACTAATGAGTAATCTACTAGCTTTCATTCTGTTAAAAAAAAGTTAAAATGATAAAACTACGGTAGGAGAGGAATCAAGTATTTAATGTTATCACTTTATAAATAATAAACTCAGAACATGAAAAATTCTCAGTGACACTTTTTTTCTATCATTAGTGGTTTATAAATAACTATTAGATAATTAAGAAACTACTGAACATGTAACTTGTTTTTGACTTAATGTAGTTTTTAAGATTATTTAATTCTTATTTAGTATCATTTTTAAAATTTTATTATTTTTTCTCTGTCTCAGAGAAAGACAAAGAAAGAGAAAACAAGAAACCGAACCGCCAGGTCTGGGACTCAAACTGAAGTCAACCATATGGGAATCCAGCACCTTAAACACTATGTCATCTGCTGGTCCCGACATCTGTAATTTTTTTTTAAGAGGTTTTTGCCTTAAGACACATATGCTCCCCAGAAAGACAGAGAGAGGGAGAGACAGACAGATAGGCAATAAGAGGGAAAGTGAGAAATCATCCCCCAGGGGATTGGCCATGCTGCAATACCTTCTCTGTTCTCCTCCCAGGATCTTGGGCATGCACACACATGTGCCCAGCATGATCTTGAAGCCACTGGGTCTGGGACTTGAACCACGGTCGGACATGTGGGAGTCCAGCAATGTAACTGCTATGCCATCTGCTGGCCTCGGTAGTTTTTCACAGAGCTGGTTCTAGAAAATGTGTCTCTATGAAACTCCTGTTGCATAGTGGCCATTGTTGTCCAGCCATTGTCCTTGATAAGCTAGATTTGACTCATTAGGTTGAGCATATGATTTAGGTCCTCAAGTTAGTTTTGCTTCATTTAACTCATTGATTGTCTGGAATGGGTGAGCAAACAGTTTTAATGTGAATATGAAGCCTTTTCATTCTATACCTCTGCTTGCATTACAGAAACCCTTGAAACTCTCATCAAACAAGCAGAAAACTATACCAGTATACTTTTTTGCAACACCTACAGGAACATGGCCTTAGAGGCTGCTGCTTCAGTTCAGGAATTCTTCACTGATGTAGGACTCTATTTATTTGGTGCAGACGTTAATCCTGAAGAATTTGTGAACAGATTTTTTGACAGTCTTTTTCCTCTGGTCTACAACTATCTCATTAACCCTGGTGTGACTGACAGTTCCCGAGAATATTCTGAATGTATCCGGATAGCCCGTCGGGATGTTAACCCATTTGGTAGTATCCCCAAGAGGGTTCTGGGGCAAATGGGGAGGTCGCTGCTACCCAGCCGCACATTTTTGCAGGCACTCAACCTGGGCATCGAAGTCATCAACACCACAGACCACTTGCACTTCTCAAAGGACTGCAGCAGGGCCCTCCTGAGGATGCAGTACTGCCCTCATTGCCAGGGCCTGACTCTCAGTAAGCCTTGTATGGGCTACTGCCTCAACGTTGTGAGAGGCTGCCTGGCACACATGGCAGAGCTTAATCCACACTGGCATGCCTATATCCGGTCATTGGAAGAGCTGTCAGACGCAATGCATGGAACATACGACGTTGAACATGTGCTCCTGAACTTCCACTTGCTCGTTAACGAGGCCGTGATGCAGGCTCACCTCAGTGGACCCAAACTATTAGAACAGGTAAGCAGACCCTGTGTTTTCTGTCTGAATTCTTGGAACTCAGAATAACCAATATATAGTGTGTGTGTGTGTGTGTGTGTGTGTACACACACACATACATATTCATTCATATTGTAGAAATTCAAATTTTGTTGTTTATTAACACATTATTATGTACTTTAAAATGATGACAGCCTAGTAAGTAAATACATCGTACTTGAGAAAATAGTTTGATGTGTGATGTGCACTGATATATTCTATTAAAGTTATTTTAAAAAAGTCTTATGCAAAAATTAAAAATATTGTTTTATCCTATTCCTTTTCTTCAGTTTGACTGGGTAGAGATAGGGAGGAAGGGAGACTGAGAAAGCAAGCAGCCAGATTCAGGACTCAAACCATTTTGGCCCTGTGGGAGTCCAGTGCCTTAACCAGTACACCACCTGCCAGCCCCTTGTGTGAAAATTTTGATTGGCTAAAATACCACATTTTCCTCAAAGAAAAGCCTTTTTAAAGGATTAGTTCAGTGAGATGGCAAAAGTTCAGTTTTAAAATCAGGAGCAATATAGATTTGAATCTTCAGATTGCTAGTAACTAGCTATAGAAAATTAGTGAAGTTCCTTTGTATCTTTGAGCATCAGCTTCATTATTGATAGAAAGAACATACGGACACACACACACACACACACACATACACACACCTTTTATTTATTTATTATTTATTCATTTAAATATTTATGCCAGTGGAAGCATACTTTAGAGAAAGAGAACAATAGAGAACTCTTCAATGGGACCTGGTCATGCCTGCTATGTTTTTCAAACCTTTGGGACTGGGACTCAAACCCTGGTTGGTCATGTGGATCTAGCTTTCTGTGTATAATGGTTAACCAGTGGCCAAGAGATTGGGTTAATACATATTTTGGGGGGTATTCTATTCAGAGAAAATATATTACGTACACAAACTACCTAGTATAGTGCCTGGCAACAAAAAACAAGCAAACAATAAATGGGTAGTTGCTCTTAGATATTCACCTTTAAAATAAAAATACATTTTTTCTATTTTATAGAAATTAAGTTATGTATATATAAATTAAGACCGAATAGCTTGGTGTTCAAAATATTCTCCAGAGACTATCCAGATTCTGTCACAGTGATGGCGTGATGATTTTTGAGAATGTGGCATATTCATTTTCATGGTATTTATTCCTAGTAGACTAAGACGTTTTTGAAACAAAATCATCAAATCAAAGGATCTGAGAGTTTTCTCTTTCTCTCACCTTCAGGAGAAAGTTTCTTAAGCATCCACAGGCTTCCTTATTAATACCGCTCATATCACATACAGTCAAACAGGACATAGTGCTGAAGATTCTCCTACATCTTTTTCTTTAAAATAAAATTGGACTTCATGGCGCCAACAATAGATCTTCCCACCTTGGCACTGGTTTATTAAATTCCCATGATAAGTCCCTCTCCTCTTTTCCTCTTAACTTCCAGCAGATTTTCAGGTCCAATGTGAGCCTATAAATTAGAGATTGTTCCCTTTGGAGCCAGATACAGCACCCAGAGATGAGTAGAATGTGGCTGGATCTCCTCTCCCACTCCCTGCTCCATTCAGCTGAGTGTCCTGGTACCCTGAACAAGGACCCTGAGTTGGTGCAATGGTCCTGGGCTTTTTGTCCTCTTTCAACCCTTTCTGAAAATCAGACATAGGCCAGAATCTCCGGAAGGGATAAAATAAACCCACTCAAAAGGAGATCCAAATGACTACTGAAATGTCAAGGATTTCATAGTTACCATTGTGAGGAATAAATATTTAGATGCAGGCAACAAAACACCCATATTATGGTGACAGATATCTCCAAAAGGGAGAATAGGCACAAGAAATCTGAGACCTAGTTCAGATTTGATTATTAATTTGGAGCGTATCATTTAACTTCTCAGGGCTAGAGATTTCTGATACTATATGTACGTGAAGAACTTTGAAAGATCCATTTTGGTATGTATTTTGGAGCCCTGGAGGTTCTTTTGTATATCTAAAATCTGTCATGTAGAAAATTATCTCCTTTTTATGAATTGTTAAAATAACTCAGGTTTGCAGTAGACAGACATGTTTTCAAATTCTGAGTTTTCTGTCCATTAGCGGCCTGTACAAGTTACCAAACCCTTTGACGCTGCTCTTCCCTGTGTGAAAAAGAAGGAAGGATTAGTTGATGTGGGGTAATGTTACAACTATGACACGAATTGGGAGGTTCTTGATACCTGTCGCTCTAGCTCTTTGCATTCCTTATTGTAAGCCTGGCTCTGACGCTGGTTACTTAGTACCTCAAAATATTATTATAATCAGTATTTTATAAGTAAGTTTCACACAAAATCATATCAACTTCTTTGGTGGATTTTCAAAGAACATTCTTTTTTTGGAGCAAATAGTCTGATTTCATACAATAAATAGTCTTATGGTTATCTTGAGAACCATCGATTATGAATAATAAATTGATTTTTTTTAAATAATAAAACTGAGATTCTCTTTTTTTTTTTTTTTTTCCTTATGAGGACAGGAGAAGAAACTGACTTTAAATTCCTTGGAAATTGACTCATTAATATTTATTTCTGCCAACTTCAAAGTGATTTATAAGCTCTTAATCAAGCTTTGATAACCAGTTCACACATCGATGAATTTAACAAATTTGAAATAAATTACTGGAGAGCCAACAAATAATGACTTTCTCACACTCCCAAGGCAATACTGAGATCTAGTACTTCTAAGCCTAGTCCTCAGTAAATATATATATTTCAACTTAAAAAGAAATCTGTACACGTACCTGATGTATTATATTTTCTGTTGGGTGAATTTTAACTGGAAAAAGATGTTCACAGTTCTCTGAGAAAAATGATAAACATCTAATATTTGGTAAATCTTTAAGGAAATCAAGGCTAATTTAAAAGATGAAATTCTTAATTTTATAATTATTCCAGGCTTTAAGTACAATAAAATTTAATGAAGCAGAAACACAGACAGCAAAGAACAGAAATTAAAAACACAGGCTTTAGTGTTAGAGTGGATTTCTCATCTGTCTCTGCCATTTACTAGATAAGGGCTAGTGCATTTCATTATTTCATTTCTCTTACCTTTGGCTTTCCCTTTGGTTAAATGTTGCAGCAACAATATCTAAATTAGACAGTAACAATATCTACATACTGGAGTTCTTTTGAGAATTAAATGAGCTTTTGTTCTAAATGTGCATGATATTTAGATTTTATTATTATACTATGCTAGTTATGAATCATTTGTTAATTTCTCTGTAGTTTAAATGCTCCTACAGTAAGTGCCCTTTTCTTACTGATGTCAAGCTCAAAACTATTTTAAATGATTATGTAATACAAAGAAATAATTATAAAAATCTTTCTTTTTAAAAAATATTTTAAAGAGATTTTTGCTATGGGGTGCCTGTGCTCACGGGAGAGACAGAGACAGAAAGTGAGAAATCACCCTCCAGGGGAGATGACCATGCCACAATCCCTTCTCCGTTGTCCTCTTGGTACCCTGGGCATGCACGCACAAGTGTCTGGAGGGAGTTTTAAGCTGCATAGTCCAGGATTTGAACTGCGGTCGGGTACATACGAGTCCAGCGATGTAACCATTACGCCATCGGCTAGTCCCTAAAGATATTTCTTGAATAAGAAACATGCTGGTGTTTTCAGGAAATATTATATAAGTTTCTAATGTGCTTTAAATATTAATATAGATGGATCACCTTGTTAATAAATAATATATTCATTTATAAAAAAATCTTGACATTTTTTGAAATTCTATTTGCTCTCAACCACATTTAGTACACTATTTATTATAATTTTACATTTTAACACATCAAAGACCTAAGAATGTAGAGTTTAGGTTTCTTTCAGTGTTTCATCATATTCTAATTGGAACAAATAGTATAAGGAACCTCAGTTGAACTTTGATTCCCTTTGGGCTTTTTTATTTGTTTATAAGCCAGAGGCATTTGTGCTCACCAGAAGGAGAGAGACCCAGAAAGAGAAGGAGAGGGAGAAAGCACCCCTGCCCCAGTGGCGTGTGTTTATGCTGCAATCCTTTCTCTTCCATTTCTCCTTTTGAGATTTTTGGGTGTACACACACACATGCCCAGAGTGTGTTTCAAGCTGCCAAAGCTGATATTCAAACCATGCTCAGTCATGTGGGATTCGGTTTCTTAATCACTGGCCCCAGGAACAGACTGATTTTATATAGTTCTAGAAACAAAATGTAGGTCTGTAATGGAGTCATAAGCATAATATTCAATAAGAAAGTTCCTTTCTACCTTTTTCTTATAATTTTTCACCTCTCGGTATTAGTAGGTATTCTACCAGTTGCATCCTCCAGTGATTACTTTATAATCACTATATAATTTAATTCATAAAACCTACCAAAACTGCATTTAAGGTAAATTGTGCAAACTAGTGTAGTTTGATTAACTATTAAAAAATTATTGGATTATTGGAAAAGTCATGATGCATTTTTTACATAGAAAAACAGAAAAATATGCCATAACTTTTCAGATGACCCATTATTATCTCATTACTTCCTTTTTACATACCAAGATACATCTGAGTCTGTAGAAAGTAGGCATAGCAAATAGGTTTTTTCAAGATACTTTTTGCTATAGGGCACGTGCACTCACCAGAGAGACAGAAAGAGACAGAGAGAGACAGAGAAACACAAAACCAGAAATCACACCCCTCCCCAAAGGGGATGACCATGCCGCAATTCCTTCTTTATTCTCCTCTTGAGATTTTGGACACTCATGCACACACCAAGTGTATGAGTTTTAAGCCACTGGATTCTGGACTCGAATTGCATCAGCAACATAACTGCTACTCCATCTGCTGGTCCTATAAGTGTAGTAAATTTATTATGTGTTTTTAGATGTTGCAATTGAAACTTTACATAAAAATTTAGAACTTCATAGCCTACGTTACTGAAGGCAATGCACTAATTTTGTCCTGTGTCTTTTATAATGTGGTATATA